GTGGCCTAAAATGCGAGAAACTATTCGACGACACGTTCAAGCATGTACACCTTGTCAACAATACAATTACAGTCGCCACAAAAGTGCTGGTCATCTTCATCCTATTCCTCCCACAGACATTCCATATTCAGTGATCAGCATGGACTTTTGCGGTCCTTTCATTGAGTCTCCCAGAGCGAATAAGTTCGTTCTCGTCATCTCTGATTTATTTACACGTCATGTCACTGCTATCGCAGCACCAAATAATACAGCAGAAATGACGGCAATAACACTCTATCGAGAAATTTTTTGTAAATATGGAGTCTGCTCTACATTGATTACTGATCAGGGCACACATTTCAACAATCATCTTATGCGTGCTCTAACACATCTCTTTGGCTATAATCACATATATAGCACTACCTATCACCCACAGACGAACGCAGTCACTGAACGTTTCAATGCGTCAATGAAGGTCCAAATCTCTAAACTTGAAGACAAACATCATAACAACTGGGATGACTACCTCGACCCTATTATCTTCGCATACACTACTTCAAAGCACAAAACTACACAATTTTCACCCTTCGAACTACTCTTTGGTCGTTCGCCACGACTACCAATTGATCCTCGTCCACAATTCTACACCTTTGATCGACCAAATATCTGCTTTCAAAATCTCCAAAGAATTCTGCAAGTTTATCATCAACAAGCTAAGTACAACATTATAGCACAACAAAGATATAATAAAGACCGTTATGATAAACACCGACCTAATCCTCATTATCACATTGGCGATCTCGTCTTCACAAAAATCTTCACTGCACGCGGAAAATTAGATCCTCGTTATTCTTCTGAACCACACATCATTACGGAGATACATCATCCTACTTATTCTGTTCTCAACGAATATACCGGCGTTGTGAAACAAGTTCATGTCTCTGACATACGTCCAATTATTCCAGCATATGAGCCTGATACTAACAATTAGTGATATGCTCATTAACTACAATTCAATCTTCAAAAAAAAAAAAAAAATGAAAATATAATACTTCTCTTTTATTCTTAGAACGCAATTCGGGTAAAAATAAAAAACAAATGATACTTATCTTCTATCCATATTATCACTATTCTGCCTTTTCACATACCACATTCGTTCTCTTGGTGTACGTGAGAGAACAATATATATTTCACTACATAATTTCATTTATCTTTGCAACTTTCTTTTTAAGATCAAAACCATTCTTGTTGTCATACTAATCATGTCAAGTCTACTTATTTTTATAATTCTTCTTGTCGCTCAATTCGTTCCGGCTGTCGATGTTTTTCTCTTTGGTCAGCCTAAATTGGAATGCAAACCCTGTGATTGTCATCCAGAGTGTCACTGTGAAACAAAATGTGTACAGCAGCAGATTATGAAAGAATGTAATCTTGGTGTCGATAGTCACAACGCACTTGCCTCACATCATACACAGGAAAATCGAACAACTCGATTTATTTTAATTTTCTCGTTAATCGTAAATTTTATTCTAACACTTTTCTTATTATTTCGTAAAAGCGTACGAAACTGTTATCGTGCACATCAAATACAAAAACAACAACAAAAAACAGCTAAACAACGAGCAGCTGCTCGTCAACAAACTGAACGCTATACGATCGCATTGAAACAAATGATTACGCCACATGCAGAACAATGCCCACCAAAACAAAACAGTTCTCATACAACATCGGATCAACCATTATTTCACTTGCTCTCCAACTTAAATATCTAAGACCGGGTATGAACCAGCTACTACCCCTGAACAAAACAAAAAAAAAAAATATATATATATACATTTTTTTCTTCTTCTTCTCTCTTTTCATTTCAGTTTCTTGTCAAAGAGGGGAGGTGTTAGCGATGACTCAAGTCATCACTTTCTTTAGTGTGCATTTTGTTAAAAATGTGATCTAGAATCACATTTTTTTTGCTTTTCTTTTTTTTTATCCATGATGCATGATGCGTTATGCCAAAAATGTGATCATATATCACATTTTTTTTTCTTTTTTTCCTCCTATATATATATATATACTATTTTTTTTATCAGAAGAATTATTATTTTCTTGTTCAAACGCGATTATTTTCTTCGAAAATAAAGTCTACAAAACATCACTCACTCTCTTTATCTCTCTTAGCTATACAGACAGGCTAACAACCATTGTTATTACAAGTCCAGACATTGGCCATTGGGGCGACTATCTAATAAATCCTATGGACGCCTCTGGACGATTTTATCCGGGCGTCTTTGGACGAGCTTATTTGAGCGAAAATAATGAAATGACAGTAACAGCTCACGAAATGGGTCATTGCTTGACTTTGTCTGATTCATATTCCGATGATCCCAAGTTCAAACGTCCGGAGGCCTCAGCAAAAATTGGCCAGTATGATGATGAATGGGATGTCATGAGTGCTGATCATGTCAAAGCCAATCAAACTAAATATGGAATGGTTGGACCTGGCTTAAATGGATTTACTTTGAAACTACTTGGTTGGATTCCAAAGGAACGTATTTATACATTTGGACAAAACGGCAAAACATCAGCTACATTGAATTTAACGACACTTATGAATCCAGCACCCGGCTATCCATCATTGATAATTGTACCATGCGATCCATCAGATCTTCAACATTATTATCTTATTGAAATGCGTTTCAAAGAAAAATGGGATGCTAGATTTGATCGAAATTCTGTATTCATACACGAAGTCAAACAGGATCCAAACAAAAAAACTAAATATTATCGTTCATATCTTCTTCGAGCACGTAATACAACACGAGATTCTGTTAACTTTGTGAATATGAACGGTGTGACAATTACTACTGGTGAAATCAATGTTCAAACACGAACTGTTTCTGTTAAGATTACGACAACAAATCCAATTGCCAGGTCGAAAGCTACTAAACGATTACAGGCAAAGAATTATTTATTATTATTGAAAAAATTTTATGCAGCAGAAAGTGAACAATTTAAACGAGAACTTGCTTCGTTAATCTTGCAACGACTCACAAAATTCTATAAATAATTAGAACCTCTATTTTCCTTTTTCTTTTATTCCTTCATCATTAATTTAAAACAATAAATCTTTACTAAAATCAAATCTCAATTTATTCACAATCACTACGTTCATGCGAGTGTATTAAGAATAAATAAAAAACAAAAAAAGGGTTATTTACTACTAACAATTCTCATTATTAGAGAGAGAGAGAGAGAGAGAGAGAGAGAGAGAGAAATATTTCCATCATTCTTGTTCTTTTCTTAGAATACGCAAAGGGGCAACTTTGTGAAAGTCATGAACATATCAGAAAAGGACTAAAGAAAATGTATTTGATTTTTTGTCTTGCATATTTCAATTGGAACTTTGTTTTTGAAAAATAATATGAAACTTCCTAAACAAGTCACTTTTGGTATTCGGAAAACTAGTAGTCATTTTCTTTTGAGCCATGAAACATGTCTCTGGATCAATTGGTCGAACTGATTGGCATACGAAATTCTATTGAAGAAAAAATAGTTCAAATTTCAGAGAAATGATTCTATTGAATCTAATATAGATCCAGGCAATACTTGCTACCGAAAAGTATTGGAAGAAGAATTTGACTATTCCATCATAGAACTTTGGAGTTTCGATGGTTCTATGATGAAACCTATTGATAGATCTGAATGGATAACCAACGAAGTTCCATCATGAAAATGTGAGCATTACCATGGTTCCTATCTGTTCGACATATCTTCAAAAGGAAGAAATTCAAATATTTTTCCATCGAATGCTAGAAGAATTGCTACAACTTGAGCAACTCGTACTTTAAATTTTTATATTTCAACTCTTTTTCTGATGGCAGCTAGTTGTGACAAGATCATAAATCATCAATCAGATAGAAACAATCAGGCATTTCGATTGTATTCAATGCAAAATTGTAAGTATTCGATATTCAATGAGTACATTGTAAACGATATTGTAGCAGCGAAATAAATCCCCTTTTCATTCGTAATCTATCGAATAATTTGAAGGAAGATATACAGATGTTTGCAAAAAAAACTTGGAAACCCTCTCCCACAGATATCACCTTCTATACAAGTGCTTTTCGAATTGTTTTTTTTTATTGTGGTAGGATATCTCACGAAGAGTACTATACAACAGTATAATTTCATATTCTTTCGAAATTACATAAACAAAATCTTATTCTTAATAATACTATTGAACAAGTATATTGTGACACTTGTCAACAGTGCAGAAATTAAAGTGGTGGAAAAAAGTTTAGAAACAAGATTGTTTCTTTTGATTCTATTCAAAGACAAATACTCAGAGAGTTTTAATGATTGATATACTTAAGTAGGGTCTATAGTCACCAAGTACATATACAAAGACTTCACAATTTCCAGTCTCTGTGTCACATATAAAACTTTATTTTTTCTCCAGCGGAAAAAAGTTTAGAAACAAATAAAATATGTTCATGTTTGCCGAGTTCGCCTTTGACACAACAAGTAATCATTCTATATCTAAGGGCATCATATGAAAGAGTAGAATGTGTCTAACGCAATATATTAATCTACTTTCGATGATCTTCATATTAAAGTACCTAAAAGGTCCAAATTATGGAACCTATAGAATTATCTGGATGGTTTTCATGGGAAACTTAGGTTTTTCGTAGTTCCCTCGACTGTAGGGAGGGTCATATGAAAAAAAATAGTTTGTGTGTTTGTGTGTTTGTGTGTTTGTGGCAGGGTCAAAAGAACATACCAGAGAGGTTAGCTTATTTTAAGACTTTTGGTCGTTTTGAGTGAACTTTGCCATAGGTTATCGAGGGCCCTGAATCTGAATCCATTGCCCATTTCGGTTGCCGAGGTGTCATTAGTTGAAAACCGACCAATCAGAAACGAAATTTCTTATTTTAAGGCTTTTGACCTTTTTGAGTGAACTTTGCTATAGGTTATCGAGGGCCCTGAATCCGAATCCATTGCCCGTTTCGGTGGCCGAGGTTTCATTGGTCAGGAACTGACCAATCAAAAACGAACTTTCTTATTTTAAGA